TCCTAAATATAAAACTCTTATACTAGTGTATATAGGGGTCTTATATTTAGGACTGGAAGAGTATTATGTGTATAATTTCCAATGTAAAAGTAAATAGTGTAAATATGTGTGTTTTTCAAGTGAGAAAGTTTTATAAGTAGTTTTTCAATTATGATTTATAAAAAGAAAAATTAGTAAATAGTACAATTACACATAACTGATGATATGTTACACTCACGAATCATACTTGTATTTGTACAATTCAGGTCTTTCTTGCTAATTAAAATTTCAAATAGAGATTTTTTTACTAATTTTCCTTTTATAAAATATAAGATAAGTATGTGAAAATTTTTTTATCATAATTTACGTGAAACATGTTCATAAGTAATTTTAAACGCTAATCCAAATAGGGTCTAAGTAGTAAGGTTTCTGAGATGAGATTACAAAGAACATTAAATTCGTAACTTTTGTGCCTACTTATGAGAAAACGTGCACGTAACTAAATTATAAGATCACTGATAATATAAATATAGCTCCCGTTTTTTTTCATAATTTTTCTTTACCCATCAACCTACCGTGACCAAGATATGGGCTTCAAAAGCAAATAAATAATACACACATATCAAGGACATGTTTTTAACTGTTTAATCTTTTATTTATACACTTATCCAATTTCTTTTCTTTTTGGGCCAGCTATTCACTAATCCAATTAATTTCTTCCACTTCACGTTAATGTAAAATGCCCACATTAATTAATTCTGTACCAAGATATATGCGCTACCGTCATTGAAAAAAAAAAAGGCATCGTCGAAAAAAAAACAGAGAAAAAACTGGCGATAAATGACTTATTAAAATGTCAGAGAAAGTATTTAACTAAAATAAAAAAATTTAGAAAAAATTTGTATAATTTAACTTATATTAAATATTAACGCCCATGAGTAATAAAGAGTTGAAGACAGTTGAATGTGAGTTTTTTTTTTTTTTTAACCAGCAATTGAATGTGAGTTTCTCTCATTACAAAAAATATTTAAAATAATATTTTATTTTATTTTACATTTTTGAAATTGAAAAATGAAATAAACCAGGCTTAATAATGAATAAGAAAAATTGGGAAAATTCCCAGTTGCAGATTTTATTAGTTAAAAAAACTTACAAAATTTGCATTTGTATAAAAATTTATTACATCCTTTCCACTTTAAAAAAAAATTAACGAGATTTTTCTTCAATTAAATATAAAAGAATAAAAGCCCCATCCATCCCAACAAAACAAACTGCCATACTCTCTCTCACACTCCCTCTCCCCGGTAAAAAGCATCTCCCTCGTGACCTGCAACGATGCCACCATAGCTCCTTCTCTCTTCCATTCTCTCTCTTTCTTCCCCCTCCCCCCCCCCAAAAGAAAAAAGATTCCTTCCATGGACCATTCATCCCGCCGCAAGCCGAGCTCCCGGCGGCTGCCTCACACTACCCATCCTCATCGACGCCGAGCGTGGTGTTGTTCGTTTACAGTTCCCCCGGCTAGCCCCGACAACCTTTCCGTACACCACTCAAAACCCCATCATACCAACCCAAGTACTTTGTCCAAGCCGAGTTTTTCCGTCCCGACCTCACCTCAGAGCGCTAAATCCGGGTTCGGCAGAGTGGGTCGGATCGACCCGCGTCGGATCTTGTCCCCCGGTAGAGTCTCGCCGATTGATTCTGATCCCGCTCTTGATTCCGTCCAAGATATCCTTGTCGTTCCCTCTCCATTGGCTGATTCCATTTCCACACCTAAATCAAGGTCTCAGAGCTTCCGTGCTCCCTCCGGCAAATTTCAGCCGCCGCGGGAGAGTTCTGGCTCTGTTAGTGGCACGAAGGATTTATTTGATGTGAGGTTGAATTTGAAAGGCAAGAATGGTGGGTGCATGGTTCTGGAGCTGAACTCTGATGTTCTGAGCACCAACTCAGAGGTTTTTGCTGAATTGATAGCGGATCACAAGAAGGGATTGCCGTCAGGCGCTTCGCCTGGGCCGAAAATGTGCAGAATAGAGGTGCCGGAGGTGGAGAATTTTGGAGTTTTCAAGGAGACCATCGAGCTCATGTTTGAGGATGAAATTACGAAGCACCTTACAAAGATTGGCGTTTATCGATCCATTGACATTTTGGAGGTAAGCCAGTACATTTAGCCTCAGTTTACTGTAGGCCTTTTTCTTTTCTTACTGTTGAGCTCTGCTTCTCGTTTTAAGGGCTTTGAGTTCACTGTTCTATATCTTTCCCTGTATATTAAATATTTTCGCTGACCTTATCTGCACTGCTTGCTTTTGTTGAATGACCTTTGTGGGACAAGGATGCCATGGTAACTTGCCAAAACATATGAATATCCAAATGTAGTTTTCAAAGGGTAGATTTCTGGGGAACTTAATTTATACGTAGACCTAAATGTTGTGTTCATTAATCTTAGATATAATTACCAGCATGAATCCGGAACCTATCTGAGAAAAATATGGATGAAGCTTGGGGTCTCGAGACAAGTCAGGTTAGAAAATTGGGAATCTTTTATAGATATGCATATTAGCAAATATTCACTATACAAGTATAATGGAGAGGAAATTGTAGGCGAAACTTACTACCCATGAGAATCTTTTATTCCCATGACAAGTTTTTCATTGCAGCGCATAGATTGTTTTTACCATGATTGGTTCAAATAGCGGCATAATATCCAATAGAAACATCCTGTGCCATAAGTGAAGCAATATAGAGCAAAGAAAAAGAAACAGAAAATATGCGATTGAGCCTTGCAGTAATTTGATGTTTAAGGAACAATATTATATAAAAGTGCTGAGCATTGCACAAGTGTCTCTTTAATCTCTGACATGATTGCTCTCTTCTATCCTAGGTGTCGGCAGGTATCAAATTCACCAAGGGTGTTCTGTCCTGTTTGAAATACCTGGAGGCTGTTCCTTGGACTGAGGAGGAAGAAGAGAAATTGAGGAGCGTATTCACTAGGCTTAAGTTTGATGATGCGACAACCAGAGACATCTTAGGAAGACTGTACTTCCATGATTCAGTTGATTCCGAGTCTAATAGTAACATAGCAGGACAGCTTGTTTGGTCCATCACTTCTTGTGCGGATAACAATGCAAGAAATGAACTTAAGTCACTGGTCAAGAGTCTTCTTTGCAGAAGTTCAGTCTATGAGAAGAACCATCTTGACCTTAGCAAGGAGGATTTGTATGCTGTTTGCCACTCTTGTCTGGGCTCACTAGTCAGCCTCTTCGAAGAGGCCTCAGACAACCTCACGCCTGAAAGGTTGGTGAAGAAAGATGTTGGTAAGCCTCTGATTGAACGCATCTCCAGGCAGGTTGATAACATAAACTGGTTGCTGGAAATCATGCTTGATGCGCAAGTGGCAGAAGACTTCGTTGATATTTGGGCTCATCAGCAGCAACTGCTCAAAATGCATGAAGTTGCATCCCCCATGATCAGATACGAACTGAGTCGAGTGTCAGCAACGCTACTCGTCGCCATGGGTACCCGAAAATTGCAATGTAGGTTGGAAGCCAGATCAGGGCTCCTCCAAGCATGGTTTGGACCAATGCTCTTGGACTTTGGCTGGCTGCAGAGATGCAGAAAGGGACTTGCCATAAGGACCTTGGAAGAGGCTTTGGGACAGACACTTCTTACTCTGCCTCTAAAGCAACAGTACATGCTGTTCATGGAATGGTTTCGTTACTTCTCTAAGCATGGCACTGAATGCCCAAACCTCAGCAAGGCATTTCAAATATGGTGGCGCCGATCATTCTTAAGAGCCTCAGAAACTGATGCCATTGAATCAAGGTAGACAGTAGTAGTACTTGTATTGTGATTTTCTACAGTGCGTAGAGTTTCAGTTAGGTGAGCAGTTCTGAGGTATGTAAACTGAATAAAGCAGATAACACCCCTTAAGTCATTGTATTAGTAGCTTGATGCTTAAATGATATCAGTTTCTAGAATTTGTCTTCCATTTATTGCCTGTCAAAGGCCATGCAATTGAGTCGCTTGTTCTAATGTTTTATCCTTAAGAATTTGCAAGTGAGTCGCACATTCTGTAAATTAAATTATCAATCTACATAATTTTCCGAGTTAATTGCATTTGTGGTTGCACGACACAAGTCTAAGAGCAACTTCGTGAAACGTCATCGGGTTGCATCATGACGCAAGAGGATTACCTTTTGAAAAGCTACGAAAGATGTGTAATATTGTATTAAAAAAAAAAAAAGCGTCATAAATTGCCCGTGGAATGTCATAAATGTTAGTGGGCCAAAGAAACGAAAAATGGATCTATACGGGTATAGGTTGGATTCGTTCGGCTGTGGTTTGTATTTTGGGCTTATAGGCTTGTGTTGTCATGGGGACCAGTTCGATCCTTTTAGTTTTTGGAGATTTAATTTGAATTTGAATCTAGCATGTAATTTTTCATCCTAACTTGAAATCAAAATATTGAGGTTTTGTATTGTTTTAGGACATTAATTAATGATATGTAGAATCTTTTTTAGGATGTTACAGTTTGCATTTCAGATCACTTTTTCCCATATTAATTTCAAACCTATCTGATTGCTTTAATTCATGTATCGAAAAACTGACCCCTCCTGAAGAAAACTTAAGTGCCAATGCAATTGAACATGTCATTAAACATGTTGAGGGGGGAATGCCACTCATGATTTTGCTTCTCATCATTTCATTAACTCACGCTCCTGACCTGATGAAAATGCATACTCAAAACTCCATTAAATCCAAAACATTATACAAAACCCTGGAAAATATTCATTTTTACCCCAATGAAAATATTTTTCATTATTTCCACAGTTGAAAAATTTATTACAAAAAAAAATCAATTCCCTGCTCAAGGCGTTGACGAGGGTGACGAAACCTCATAGGTAGAACCTTTGCCCAAATTCATCTCATCCATTATCAATTATTTTATTCTAAATAAATTAGTTTTTTTTTTTAATCTTCCCAATCTTGTATGAATTAACATTTTAGCCAATTATGACCCAAAAAAAAAAAATTAGACACTTCAGTACTTTTATTATGGCAATAGAACTTGATGCATATCCAGCCGTGTCATGTATAGTACAGATGAAATATTTCGACCAAATTGTAAACTAAAGTCAGAATCTGCTTCATTTTACATGCCCTTTCCGGCTAGATCTGCTTCTCTAAGCCAACCCAACTAACAGGGGCAATAAAAGGCTAAACTATGGTATAAACAATGCATATTTCAGTGATCTCAGCGGGACATGTGTGATACAAGTCCGCTTGCACACAAAAACAACCCCCCCCCGGGTACGAAAACTGTTCATTCAACTAGCTTTGAACATTCAGGTCACTTTATTATACAAATGTTCAAATAGAAACAATGATAAAATTAAAAACGATAGATGCTGCAGCCTGCAGGTATAAATGCCAATAGCGTCTCGTCCTGTGAGCCACAAATCACAAACCCTCCTTTTTCCGGATGAAATGGACCCCACTTTCAGGTTCAGTGGTGTCTAGGTCACGCAACTCCAAGAAATCCAGATCATCGAACAACAAGGGCATGCTTCCTGCAGGATAGATTTGGTTTGTATTGTCAAGGTCTCCCAAGTCCTTAAATATATCATTAACATCCAAACAAGGTATGCCTTCAGCTTCCTTCTCCACAGCAGAATTATCATTCTTCTGAGTAACCATGAGAAACACACCATGTTAGTATATTGACTCGGGAGAAACAAGATTAAGCAAGCATAATCGCTCAAAAATTCAACTTCCTGGATAAAGACTACCTTACAATCCTCAGCAACTTACAAGCACTACCAAACAGGAAAGAGAAAGCCACAAGATTAAAATTGGATCCAAACTCAAGAATATATATAATAATTAACATTTCACATTTCAGCTTTAGAACAGGGCAAAAGCCAAGAGCTTCTAGGTGTAAGTATCAAACAATGCATTACATTACACAAGCATTACAGCAGAAATAGGGCATACGCTATAATAACATTCAGATGTAAGTATCAAAGAAAGTCTTACACAAGCATCGCAGCAATTAGTAAATAATGAAACAAAGGAAGCTAAGAATGGTTTCTGCCAAGCTGAAAAGCCCGCTACAATCGACAGATAAAAAACCAGCACACCAATGTTAGCTACACAATCATCCTTTCGACTTCCACCTGTCGCTAGGCTTAAGGTTCAAATCAACAAGATTACCGGAGATATTTAATTGAAACATCGTCTTTCAAAATGTGATTCCAACTAATCTACTCATCATCTATATTGATCACATAAAGATTCAAAACATATATTCACTAAAAGAAAAAATAAGCATGAATTCAGAGAAAATATTGAAGTCAATACTCCCTATGGTTCAAAATATAAGATAAACTTTGTTGGAGGAGCTTAGTTATTTTTATAAGATAACATTCATTTTTGTCTAAGCATTTAATGATTTTTTTTCAATTTTACTCCTCACATATTCTCTTTCCTCTTTTATTTATTCTCTTCATTAGTAAGGACATATTTGGGACAAAAATACATGCCTTACATATTTATTATTTTAAACTGATTTCAATTAATTTCTTGATAAACGTAAATGAATAAAGCTTATCTTATATTTTGAGCTAGAGTACAAAACTAAAGCGAATGTGTAATGAATGTATAGACAGTAAAAACGAAATGTTCAAATGCAAAATTTAAGGGCAAACACGAAGTTGTCTGAAACAAGGCATTGAAGAAGTAATTGCACATAGTTTACCCACAAAAATACACAAGCAAGAAGACAAAGAAATAGATCACGCACCTCAATGTTATTTCCAATCATAGGAACTGTGTCATTCTCTGTGAAACAATCCAGCAAGGCATTAATATCATCATTAACTGGAACTTGAGACCCATTGGATATAACTTGATCACTTGGAGCTAACGGATGCACAAGAGATGACGCTCGTGATGATCCAACACATGCACTTGCAGGGGGATGACAATAAGTTGTTGTAGAACTGCCAGGCGTGTTAGGATGAAAGGTAATTGGTGCGTGCACACCAACTAAGGGAAGAGATCCTACACCATCCATTTCCTCGTCGTCATCCCAGTCTTCATCATTGAATGGTCTTCCATATTGAGCACCATTCCTGGGACCAGGACCTTCCTTTTGGAAAACCTTACAAAGCACATAGGAATCCTGCAACATGCATGAACCAAGAGAACCAATTAAAAAAATATTCACTGGCATGACAATTCGAAATATACAAAAAAATGTAGAAGTAAAAAGAGAAGGAAGTGCTTCCATGTGTCAAGGGTGCAACGTATCAATTAAAGGCACCACATGGTGAGTGCCATTTGATGCAGACGTATCTTAATCACATAAATTAATTTTATGGCCTGACGATGAAACAACATAGAACCCTCCAGTAATGCCATAAACAAGAGACAGCATCCCATCTCTCGCATCAAGATATGTTCATTAAAAGTTTCGTCAAGCGAGACATATATCAACAAAAGCAATTTATATTTAGGATATCTGGTCAGGCAGGAACCCTTCAAATAATATTCACTTGAGAACTAATTGGTACACATGTTTCCTCAATCACAGTAGTAAGAATACTCCACACAAGATACGGCAACTATGCAGCAACAACCAATATCGCCCATAATAAAAGAGAAAAGAGAAAATAAAACTCCAGATACCTGAGGAATGTCTTTCGCAGTCAGCTCCTGATCTTCGAGCCTATATTCGTGCATAACCCAATCAGTCCTATCTCCTTTGGGAGCTTTACCTATGTGAAATATCAGGGTTTTTATCATTCCCACAACGCGATTCTTGAAATGAACTGGTCTATCCCTCCCTGTAGTTTTCCAGTACCCAACTTCGGTAGCGCGATTCATTCTGGCCCCACTAGCATATTTCTTTTCTCTGGGGCAAAAGAAGTACCATTCCAAATCTCCAGTTCTCAGATAAGATTTATCTGAAAAGCAAAGAAGTAAGGAAACAAAGACAGAAAGAAGACCCAGTTAAACAAAACAAGACCCTAACAGGTACTGAGGAAAGAAAGAATTTGTCTGCCTACCTGGGAGATCCCATGGAGCGTACTTGTATATGTCTACTTCTGCGATCACATCATAATGGAATTTCTTACCCATAACCTTCCTCCACAGAAAGTATCTAAGGAGCTCAACATCAGTCGGATGAAATCGAAACCCAGGAATTAATTTTGTCGTAGCCATCAATAAAGCTAAAAGAAGCTTCAGAATCTAGCAACTTCAACGCCCTACTATCTAAAAAGACAATCCTCTCACAAGCCGTGAAGAGATAAAATTCAACAGGCGACAGAAACCTCGAACCCAAAAAGGAAAAACAGAAAGAAAAAAAATCAATCGAACTGCTGGAGAAAAGAATATCAGGAAACCCCGTGTGTGTCAAGTCCAATGCCGAAACAAAATCTTCCCCGAACACCAAAGCCTCCCCCGGTTCATGAAGCTAAAAAGGCACCCAACAATGGATGTCGAACCCTTTTGGAGATAAAAAGACATCTGCACAATGGAACCCTACAATGGAAATCATTAGACGCAGAACAAGGGCAAAGCTTTCGCATCCAAAAACAAACTTCATGAGAAAAACTGGAAATTTCTGCCGCGATTAGTTCTGGGCACGATTGATTTCACTTGCGGCTACCATTAGTAGTCCAAATAAGCGGACCTGAACAATCAACCTCGTAGAGAGAAAGGGAGGGAGATGAAGCACGAAGCTTACCAGGGAAGGAGGCGGGCAAGACTCCAAATACACCAAATGCTGAAAGCTTGGAAACGGGACAATGAAACGAGGGAGAGGGATTTTATACTCGATGTGTGAGAAACTGGACCCTCTCTCACCGCGTTGAGCAGTAAAAGCCCAATTTCCCAAAATTTTGAATTTTCAGAAATGGAAACAGCAACAATCCCCTTTTCTTTTTTTTCTTTTTACTAAAATTGGGTATCCTCCCCTTATTATTCAAGACACTGTCAGACACTAAATGTAGACACTCTTTCAATGAAAATTTAAACTTTAGTTCGTTGCGTTATGAAGGATTAGTTCTTTCTGTTAGATTCAATTCACAGTCTCTTTTTCTCATCAGCACTTTACACTAACAAGTGAAGTAGGAAATCCAAAAGAAATGCACTTCGTTCCATAATTTTTTCTGGTTCATTCCATAATTGAAGAGTATTATAATAATAAATTATTTTGAATTTTGATGTTATATATATATTTATATAAAGATCGATAATATTTTATTATACCTAATGTTATTGAACGCAACCTGTACAAGTGAGAGTTAACGTTTAAGGATTCTTTTAATTTTCAATGATTTAATTATTTTTGGTTATTTAGGCATGTTAAGAATTATTTTCATGTCTAATAAGAGAAATAAATTGTTCACATTAGTTACGGATCAAATATGTACTCAAAATGAATTGTTAGAACATTTAAACTTAAAGTTTAGCCTTCTTTATATTTGCATTTTTAATTAAAGAAAATTCTTAAAAAATAACTGTTAAATTTTAAAATTCGAAATGAGGAATTATTACAAACATGTGTTGTCATTTGCTTTTTAAGTGTAGTTATTTTTTTTAAGAGTGTAATGACTAATAATGATTTAGAATTTTAAAATTCAACAGACATATTTTTGAGATTTTTCCTTTTAACTAGGAGGTTTAATTTCAAATTTTATTAAAAAAACTGAATAGAGGTATTTAAATTGTTTTTTCCGTAATCATAATAATTTAAATATGATTAAGATTTTAGTACCAAAAAATACAGAATTATGATAAAATAACTAAAAAGTTATATATTTTCTAAATTGAAGGTATGAGATTGCTTGAAATTTATTTCATCATATCATTACATTTTATATCAATTCTATATATAAGATCTACTTTGTAGTGGAAATATAAAGTGTATTAACCATGTCTCCACTATGTTTGATTAGTTTTAAAATTTTGTGGGTTGGCAAAAAAATAGTTTTTTTTATTTTTTATAACAGAGGTCCTGTTATAATATTTTCAAAAAAGACAAACAAAACCAGGAGCCAAAATATCTAAATATCATAAACATACTCGAAAGTTGATGAATTATATTTCAAAACTATGTTTAAGTTTGGCAATCAATCCGTAAGTTTGTTCTAGACTGAGAATCAAATAAAATGTTGATGATAGCAAACAATTTCTCAAGAGAAAGTTTTATGAAAGTGAGTTGGGTTCAAGATTAAATTTATTGTGAGGATTCCAGCTTCTCACATATTTAAGGAAACTTTAATATTCGATAATCAATCAACTGCCTGAATCTTTGACAAGAAAGAATCTGATCAATCAACAATTATTGCCGGAGCAGCGAAATTAGTAGAGGGGGAAAGAATGAGAAAGGAGCACTTTTTCTTTTAATAATAATAATGGCAACGGATAATCGTAAAGATTAATCAGTATCTAAAAGTTCTTTTTGTTTGTTCCTATATATTCTGGGAGCTTTATTTCGTAGGAAAAAACATCCTGACTATTACCCGTCATTAATTTTGCCCATTCAATTAAATTACAAATAATAATTCATGACAAAAATGTTACGAAATAAAGTTTTTAGGATATATAAGAACTGAGAAAAACTTCTAGATGCTGAATGCTTCTTTTTGGATTCTTTTGGAGTATTTAAATACTTTGTTCCAATTAAATACTTCTACAAAAAGAACAAGATTATCTACATTTAGTGTCTGATAATATTTCAAACACGACTATCTCTAATAGGAAAATATCTATGTCAGCAAAAAAAAATTTATATATGTTTGGTTTTGACTTAAAAAAAGTACATATTTGATTTTGATTCTCTAGAGGATTAAGGTGCATCCAGCATCATAATATATTTTCTCAGGTATATCTAACACTCCAAAGTATTTTGTGGTGCATCAAGCATCCCCAAAAAAAATATTTTTGGGTGCTAGGCCCACCTTAAAAAAATTACTCTAAAACGCTATATGCACAAAAAAATACTTCTAAGGTACTGGCTGTATTTAAAAAAATATTTTAAAATGTTAGATACATCACAAAATATTTTAGGATACTGGATATACCTAAAAAAATAATTTACAATGTTAAATGCATTTTAACCCTTCTCTAAATTTATATTAATTTTTAGTTTAGTTGTTTAATTTATAAAGTATATTTTTAGTCTTTTAATCTTAACAGCTCTATTTATTTAATGAAAAATGCCAGTTCAGTAAATATAAATGGTGTCTCTTCAATTAAATGCTTACCAAGCATATTCTAAATTTTAATTATTTAATATGATTATTTTTATGTTTTAACATCTAAACATACTTTGTCAGTATTTAACTTTATAATCACCATTTAAATTCGTTGAATCAACATTTTTTATTAAATAAATCTAATTATATTAAGATTAAGGGACTAAAAATTCATTTTATAATTTAGAAAATGAAACCCATACTTTAACCAAACGTTAACAACCTGCTCTACTATTCTTTCATTAGGCTTCACCTTTTGATAAAGAGGTCCCCGTATATCAAATCGAACTTGCATAGTTCAGAACTTTTGTTGAAGGAGATGTTCCATATTAAATGCAATTTTATTTGAAAAAATGACAGTAAAATATCATGTGAATTTCAAAAAGACAAATAAAGCACCTGAATAAGCAAAATGACAAAGAAAACATTAGGTACCAATATGGAATTTTGATTTTTGGCCTAAAGACCGAATTGCCCTTATTATGTTTGAAAACTGAGAAAATAGAGAAAGGTAGAAACCGCCTCCTCCCGGCGAAACCAATCCCCCCACTCGGTGAAAGAGAAACTGCCCCCACTTGGCGAAACCAATCCATCGACTCGGTGAAACTAATCCCTCCTCTCAGCGAAACCGAATCCCCCTACTCGATGAAACCAATCCCTCCACTCAACAAAACCGAACCCCCCCACTCGACGAAACTAAATCCAAGCTTCTCCAGTCACCGAAAAAGGTTCTCCGATTTGCAAGGGGATTTGTATGTAAGGGGATTTGCAAACTATTTTCAGGAAATGTAAAGCTGCCTGATTTTCAAGTATTGTTAAATCATTTGCCCAGAATGTTACTACACGTATAACGAGATTTATAACTCGCGAAGTGAATTTGACCACTTCTTCGAGAGGTTTGACAACTTATTTTGAGGGGCAGGGCAACTTTTCTCTACAAAAATATAATTCTATGCTGAATTTGACAAAACACATAATGGGATTTACAACTTTCACAGTGAGTGCTACTACATTTTCAATGGGATTTGTAACCTTTTGTGAGGGGCTGTCCAATGTTTCTGTCAAAAACAAAACAATTCCACGCTGAATTTTACAAAACACATAATGAGAATAACAACTTTCACAGTGAGATTTACTACTTCTTCAATGGGTTTTGCAACCTTTTGTGAGGGGGTGGGCAACTTTTCTGTCAAAAACAAAACAATTTCACGCTGAATTTTACAAAACACATAGTGGAAATAACAACTTTCACAGTGAGATTTACTACTTTTTCAATGGGTTTTGCAACCTTTTGTAAGGGGCTGGGCAACGTTTCTGTCAAAAACAAAACAATTCTACACTGAATTTTACAAAATACATATTGGGAATAACAACTTTCACAATAATATTTACTACTTCTTCAATGGGCTTTGCAACATTTTGTGAGGGGCGGGGTAAATTCTCTATAAAAAACAATACAATTTCACTCTGAATTTTACAAAACACATAGTGGTATTTACAACTTTCATAGTGAAAGTTACTACTTTGTGTAATGTAATGCACTATTCACGAAACAATATTTGCCAAAAACTAGCAGCCATATAACAACAGATACATTACATATATTCAAATGACTGCACCTGAAGTACATCAAAGTAAACATTGAACCATTAACTTTTATACTAACTACATGTGTAATGGAATGTACCATTCACGTAACAGTATTTACCAAAAACCAGTAGCCATATGACATCAGATACATTACATATATTCAAATGACTGCACTCTACTCTTGCAACGATTACCAATTTCACCAACAACACTTTACTCCTGCAACGGCGGCAATGTGATTTTGGAGAATCTTTTTTGGTGACTGGAGGAGCTTGGATTTAGTTTCACCGAGTGGGAGGATTGGTTTCTCCGAATAGGGGGATTTGGTTTCACTAGCTGAGTGGAGGGATCGGTTTCGCTGAGTGGGGGGATTCGGTTTCGCCGAGTGGGGGGATTGCTTTCGCCGGGAGGAGGTGATTTCTCCCTTTCTCTATCTCCTCAGTTTTCATACATAATAAGGGCAATTCAGTCATTAGGCCAAAAATCAAAATTCCAGATTGGTACCTAATACCTTATTTGTCATTTTACTTATTCAGGTGCCTTATTTGTCTTTTTGAAATTCACATGGTATTTTACTGTCATTTTCCCATTTTATTTTTTATATTTTAAATAACTTTTTAATGCAATACATACAGTATCCAAAATAAAAAAATTCATAGTTGTCACTTCTCAAAAATATATAAATTTATATATTAAAAATTACAATATGAAAATTTTAGATGTGGATGATCTCGTTTCAATTACAATGATACTCCTCCTGTCCTTAATATAAGACCCATTTAACTAATTTGATTAGATTAAGGAAGTTAGGTAAGTTAGTTAATTATAAGAAAAATGACACATTTTTCCTAAAACACCATAATTATCTTTATTAATACCCCATTTCCATCTTCTACTTGATTATGGTTGAAGGAGTATCTATAGGGGTAATTTAGAGAAAATTGATAAATATGAAAAATGGGTCTTATATTTAGGACCAAAACCAACTCAAGAATTGAATTCTATATTAAGGACCGGAGGAGTACAATGATAAGTAGGCAATGCTCATCACCCTAATTAACACTCAATGTGAATACACATCAGAAGAATTTGTACCAGTGTTAGGCAGTGCTCATTAACCTGATATGAGATATGTTCATTAAACATTCACCAAAAAAAAAAAAAAAGATATGTTCATTAAACACAAAAAAAAAAAGAGAGAGAACATACAAACTACAACCGATATGCTAAACTTTTTTAGGACATTTAAATCTAAATGCATGTAAGTGATTCCATATACGGGCCTTCTATTGCTGCCCATAGCCTTCTTTACTCACAACATTCCATCCTCACTTCATAGCAGATCAAAGATGCAGGCCATAGAGGTGAAAGAAGATTAGAATGAGAGTATCATTTGTAAGCGACATTGATACAGATGCATTTAGGTGAAAAGTAACTGTCTACATTCTGCCAAAGAAGCAACCAAACTCTATCCAGACATGTCATCAAAACTTCATGTATGATTGATTGACATGGTGGACAAACTACAACGTCAAATACACATGATACAATCAACATCATCAAAGAATCTTGCTCACAACCTTCCAGTGTCAAGTATTGATGAATCAAACTTTGGGAACACAGACACCACGGACCGGCAGAGTCAGCACTTCCCCAAAAATGGAGTTGGTCCAAGAATTCTCCCAAAAGTAACCAGGTACCATCTGTTCAACATTTTGTCCAAGCCCGTTGACTAACCACAGGTTACATCAGCACTGGTCTCAACAACCAGTTAGCATAGAGCCCCTACTCCCTGTTAGAATCACTGTACAATGTGCACTATTGTGGCATTAGAGGTAACAAGAAGCTCTGCAAGCAGCAGAGTTTCTCATCGCATGAAATGAGAGGAAAAAAAATAAGACCCCAAACTATAAATTAGGCCAGGTAGACTATTGAAGTATTTTTGCCCAATCTCTTGAAATCTCGATCAACCCATGAAAAAAGAGGCTACAAACTGCTGCCAATTAATTCTTCCCTGCGCCAAAACTATAAAGCCACTTCACATGGTCCCCCATCCACTAAACCGTGCAAAGCTTGGTCTAAATGAAACAAGCTGGTGATCACCATTGATATATCATCTCATAATATTCCATTCAAAACTCTTTGATAGTAATCATACTGCCGCGTTCGCCATGCATCAAGGCTGCGGCTAATCAGCGAAAGCACCAAAGAGACACATTGCTGCCAAACCAAAAAGGACCCATAATAATTTAAAAAAAAAAAAACTTAACAAGCAAAGTCAAACCGTTTTGCAGTTAAAACAAATTCGAAATTCAAACCTCTTCTGTTAAACTGAGATGAAATCGTTTTCGTAAGTTCTCTATTGTCCGTGGACCGCCTTTAAAGCATGGGAAACCTGAGTCCTGATCCCAACAATCAAAGAAATTCAAGGCAAATCCAGCACCAATTAGTATTTCCAGATTTCATCCTCTCATGCAGGAGATGAAAAGGTACAGCAAAAGACACAAAAAGGTAGATGCACACCTTTTCTTTTTTTTTTTTTGGGGGGGGGGGGGGACCTGAGAGTGAAAGATTATAGAATACTTGGTACATAGAGAGTGGAACAACACGAAGCTAGCAACTATGTTACCTGCAACATCTCAACTAGAAGAATAATGCGCTCAGCATGTTTTCGACAAGTAAGGAAGCCCTGAATGCATAAAACCTGGAACACAATGGGCAACGCATCAAGAAAAATTTAGCTGACAATAGCATAGTTCAGAAGTTTCAGGTAAGATCACACGCGCGCGTGCACACACAGTTTCATAAGTACCTTGTAATAATCAAAGAACTCACTTGGAATGCCTTCAGCATCAGAATCCATGACCTAACAAAATCACACCACCGATGTCAATGTAAAGAGAGCAGCTACCAGATCAAATCAAATAAACATAAATAACTTCAGGTATACCTCAAGAAGCTCTCGGGTTAATTTGAAAGGAGCACTTTCAAAGTTAACACCACCAGGGGAATTTGAAAGCATGAAGCCAAAGTCAATATGCATGATATGACCTTCTTCATCCATTAAAAGGTTCCCATTATGCCGATCCTTAATCTGTACAACATGAAAACAATAAGTGAGGAGAACATAAATTCTTTAATGACAGATAACAACAAAAAGTAATACTTGAGTATCTGTTTAAGCAAGAAATACATCAGACACTAATAGAAGGGTATGCATGTATAAGCATTATATAAGAGGTTTCACACCTGCAGAAGGTAGCAAACGAGGGAATATCCAGCCATACTCTCGACAAAGTTCTTCTGAATAAAAGAAAGACAATCAACATGAAATAAACAGCGTTTCAAAACAAAAAGAAATGCATGCGAGCAGGTCATAAGAAGAATATATTCTAGTATGGCAAATGCGCAGATCAGAATTCATCCCACATTAAATCAGCAGCATCATCAGCATCATTGCATCTCTAAATTACCTGGGCAAGTTTAAAACTCGGAGAATTTTCTTGATACTTGGCAACAAAGAATTCACGTAAACTTGAAATGTTGGGATATCTACTTTTGATTGAATGTATGGAAGCCTGAAAAATCCAAAAATATCAGATAAAAATGCCAACACTTCAGACATTTCAAAAAATTTGGCAACCGAAGTTACAGCATTACCGTATCTGGAATTGTTTCAATAAGGGCTGTATATGAAGAAGTGCATAAAACTTCATAAGGCCGCAACCAGAGAGGTAGACCAGCTTCTTGGAATATATCTGACATAAAAAATCCATTGATTTTAAGCAACAAATTGTAAAGAAACACAAACAGACCAGTCTTCATCCAGGAGTAATCTGGCACCACAGCATGGTAAAATAAGATCCAATCATGCATCATCAATAAAGTACACCCAACTGGTTCACAGACAACATCACTTATGGTTTTACACATATTTCCATTTAAACCACAATCAGAGCCTTCTTGCTTCTCACAAGAATCTCATTGTGTGGAAAAGTTTGCTTTAGTGACTTGAGGGTTGTATATGCACACGCTCTTTTTGATTGCAAACTTGGTTGTGTTTATTAGATTTTGCAACATTTGCAACACATGACTTGTTTTATTGAAGTATAATGAGCTTTTGGTATCTTTCTGTCACCTAAAAACTTTATTACTACATATATATCACAAACAATAAGATCTTAAGATCTGTGAACCAATCTTACAGTTTGATCTATATTGACCCCGACCCAATCTTATGTAAGATCTCAATCTTGACGACATTGCATCTTACTTGAAAACAGATACTAGAAATTTTTTTAAAAAGAAAAGAAAGAGAACAAAAAGTATTTGAAACAAGCATCATGACCAAGCATTAGCTACTATTGCATTGAGAGGCCGAAAGGGAAAGAATTGAAAGACCACCCACAATAGAAGTGAGAAATAAGTTGAACTGCCAGATGTTCTTGCCTGCAATCGTCGCCACTCTTTACAATAACCTATTCAGAAAAAGGAATAGTAATGTTTTGGTCAAATAAAGTGAAAAGTGGGAACATATAACCTTACAGGATCATACAAATACAATCATGAAGGATATAAAAAAATAAAAACTTTTGCCAAAGTAGGCAAAGTGGGTTATCTTACTACAGGCCATATAAAATTTATGTCTAACATATCAATATTCTCAACCCTGAACAGATATTACAATCTACACTGAACTGCAAAATCTCCCCCCCCCCCCCAAACCTGAATCAATGATTTAAATTCAAGGAAATTTTTTAAGCTTAATGACATATGATTAAATTAGATAAGACTTTTTTTTTTTGAGGTAAAATATAGTTTATCAAAGGAAGGGACAACAATCTATTGATACTTACAGCAGAAAAGAGCAAAGATTTTCAATTATAAAGCCTAAGTTGTCAAAGAATTATCAAAACCCACAAGATCCATGCCTTCACTTCATTTTCTATTCATGGCTAAACAGGTATGCTTTAGTTATTAGGCAACTAGTAAACCCGAGCAAAAGATATCAAGTTTTTATTTAGAGTAAATTATGCCCACTTCACATGAATTTTGCTAGACTTAAAAAGAAGTCTATTCTAATTTTCGAAAAAAGAAAAACCTAAAATCCAAACCAAAAATTCATGCCATTTTTTTGCCTATTTCTTCATTTTTTACTAAAAAATTCCATTAACCTGACACCAATTTTTTACAAAGTACCCTCTTTCAAATCCAGCAACTTAAGAGAATAGATCTGATAACAAGGAAATCGCCTACTCAGAGCCAAAATTATATTAAAAATTAACCTCTAAGAATTCTTTCATACACAAATCAAGTATAAGCAATTACACAAGTTAAAAAGTTCATCGATTTGTAACAATTAATCATAAGTTCATCAATTTGTGTAAAAGGATTACAAAAAAGGAATATCCAAAAAAATCATATGAAAGCATTTACCATAAATCAGTTTATCAATAATAATCATTTCAAAGCATTTGTTAAATCCAATGATGATAAAATCTCATCATCTTAATTTCATCTATGTATATTTAGATATAATTTGATGATGAACAAAATGATGATGAAAGTATTATGGTTACTGAGCATTGTGGACACCAATTACTGGGAGAAAATCAAATGCAGGGATTTCAAAAATAAATAAATAAATAAAGTCAGAGTAAGTATATATTTTGAAAATAGAGTTCCCTGTAATTTCAGCAAAAATCAGAGAAGAGGAGCAACAACAACAACAACAAGCCTTATCCCACTAGGTGGGGTCGGCTACATGAATCACACGACGTCATCGTGCTCTGTCAACAACCTAGTCCACAAAAATCAGAGAAGAGGAGCATAATGTTTTTTATTCATTTGTTGGGTTCACAACTTTCCAAAACATTAACAATCAAATGATCGGAGCAAATTCTTTCAAAGAATAAAATTACTCACAGATCGCAAGTCCCAACCAGAAAAATTCCCATATATTGAAGCCTTTTGAATTCTCTCTTTCTTTGCCGCCCAGAGTTCACCAGACAAAGCATCACCAGCCTTGGGTGCACTTCCATTCAGCTTCTGGATGAAATTATATCGGATATGAGAATTTGGCATTCCTAAGGTGCAAAATTAAACAAGAGTTAAGTAATACCCTTGAATGTGCATCTGAGGAATCTTGACCAGCACCTTTCAAAGGGAGTCCGATCGGTGCTTCACCTTTTGCTGCTGCAGCCTACCAAAAGTGGAAATTTCAGCAGCAACATCAAAATTGGGAACATATTGTTAAATTGTCAAAGTGATAACTGAGAATGTAGTTAGAACAAGTTATAATCCCACTTTACAAGCATAATTTACCCATATAATAGGTGATAACAGAAGGCAGCTAAACAATGTAACGAGGAGATGGATACAATCGAAAGACAACATTTTAACCTAGAGTTTTCAACTAAACTAAACCAGGTAAGGCAGGTCTAACGAACTATAGTAAACTTTGCAATCAGTGAAAGACAAAGAACAAGACAGACTTTGCGCAAGCTACATGTCATTAAGCAGAATTCCGAGCAAACATGAAAACTATCCAGAAACATTTTCCCCCCTTTTTGTTTGGGGGGCACAATATTAATAAATAATTTCACCTTTTTGTATTATCTACCTGTTACTCTATATATATATATATAAAGATGATAATTGACACTGTTCATGACTTTACTGTTCCTAACGTTACATCAACCAACAATAATTTTATACAGTATTATCATTTTTTTAACTACACTGTGTATCTCTTGCTTCTTGTTTTTTTAGGAGCTTAAATATCTCCCTACAATATAGGGGGCAAGATATTCTAGTTCGTCATAAAACCTTGGCTGCATAAACGAAAATAATGAGTCATAGCAATAGTTGCACTCAAAATCACTCAAAGGCTCACCTTGACCTCCTCTATGGCCACTGTACTTGGAACACGATGATGTTCCTTCAGCCGTGGTGGTGGTTGATCCTGAATATCTTCCATTCTAACCAGAGGATCAGCTGTCAAGACAACTCGTACCCACTCCAAATCACTGCCATGTCTTGATGATGATGCTTCTATTACACCCCCTTTAAGAGTTGTAGCAGGACTATGACTGTTACCGTGTAGATCATGCACTTCAGACTTCTCTACTTGGCTACATAATTGTGTTTCCACAGAAAGACTTACACTGACAAATTTAACTTTCACCTCAGATGTATGGGTCATTGCCTCATCAATCGCTTGAGCAGTTGATCTGGACATTCTATCACTGATATTGCGATACACCTCATGTGTAGTCCATAAAGGATATGCCCAAGGCGGTGGTTTTTGCAAGAAAGCATCTCCATTTGCCAAAGGAATTCCACCTTTAGAGAGTTTCTGGGAATACGATGCCTCCCTGGAATTGCTAAATTATACATTTTAAAGGAAGAATACGCATCAGAAATATAAAAAGCATGCTCCCCACTTTACTGACTGCTTACAAAATGCTTGAAGATTATTATCCAGTAAATAGTAAATACCTTGGGATTTCACATTTCAAAACTTCAACACATATCAGGTAAGGTGCCTTCTCCCTAGAATTTAAGAGAACAGATTCATCTTCAGGTATATGAAGCACACGGTATATTCCCTTTCCCAGAGGAAAACAAACTCCTAAAAAAATTTTATAAGCAAGTTCGTATCAGAGAAAGACGACATAGGAAACTGCAAATAATGGAAATGCAATTTTCCAACTGCCCTACAGTAGCTTAATAAGCCAGCTTAAAAATGATTTTCAGCAAAGAACTAACAACTGGCAAACCACATAATAGGAAAAGAACTTGTCAGTAATTGCTCCAGAAAGCACATCTGATGATAAAGATGAAATGATGGTTTTTAAACATTAATTCCTCTAGAGATGATATACCAATACAATGACATATTTTTGGGAAGCTACAATTTTTCAGAACGCTCTTTTGGGGGGAGGGGGGGGGGGAATCATTTGCGCAGCTTCCAGATATGACAAATACCGGAATTCCATGTACCCTTAAATGAACTGAAATTCCTATTAGCCTTAAATGAACTCCCTTAAATAATAAACATAATAGTTGGCAAGTACCTCCTGTCTTTTGCGCCTCAGCTACATGTAAATTTATCTCTGTGAGTGACTAAAAACACAGGAAAAACAATAAAAGTCTGTGCCAGAAAGAGGAAAGTGGGAGAAAAAACTGAAATCATATACAGAACATATGCTTATTTCCGCATGTATTCACATCAATGGAGTGAAAAAAGCATAGAAAAAGAACACCGTAAAAGAAATAACCTCATGAAGAGCACTTTTGCGATCTTCAATTGGAAATACATCCACTAACCCAAATGATGTCTCGCATAATGTCCGAACAAAGTCTAATGACTCATGATATGCCCCTTTACGGAATTGTGATGTACTATGATTGGGAAGTGGAGGCCTTTTGCTTGATTTTTCACTCTGTCGCTTTGGTGATCCAGGATACTTCTGCCAATTTGATATATCAAATGAATTGATGAAATACAAGAGTAGGAAACATGCAGCAGAAACATTACCATGCAATATTGGGAAAAATTACCTTTTACTTGATATTTAAAAGCAGTAAAGGAAATAAAAATATATTTTCAGAGTCCATTAACAGTACAAGCACCCTTCCAGCTAACCGTTAATCAAAATCAAAAGTTTCATGCATGATGAATCATTTTTGATGCAATCATGCAGGCAACATATCATGTTTTGAATACAAAAGTTACTGACAATTCAACCATCTGTTTGAATTGATTTTCAGAAAGCACAGTAAATGAATGTCTAAAATCTTTCTTCCATAATTCCCCAATGATAGATTAATTTAATCTCCCAGTAGGGTAAGTATAGGGTAAGTACAAACAACTGCTAATGCTAAAGCACATAATCAATTAAACTGAGCAACATAAAGCGAAGGACAACTGCCTACTTATAAGGTCACGGGAGAGCAAGTGGCATTGACAGAGCCATCACAAGAGGAAGACCTATATTTCAGTTATGTTTGCATTCACTAGATACTATGCTAGATTAATACTGTGTTAATATTGACACCAAATAGAGTGCCTGTGCAGGCCCGCCTCCTGTGCATGTCAAGCAGAAAGCATTTTTTAACCAAATTAGGGGGGGGGGGGGATAGAAACCAGCATAAAGGCAGAATCTTCAAGTAAAACCAAGTTTTGCAGGAGCTGAGTTTTTATTTGGAGGCATAATCAAAAGTGATTCTGGTCCTGGATACAATCATGTATCCATCTTGACAAAATAATGATAATAACAATAACAACACAACAACAATAATCAGCATGAGTCAAGATGGACCTATGAAATGGACCGTGCATAGCTAATTTAAGACTAAAATATAATCAGCTATGGGACACTAGATATTATTTACACGCACTGGTTTGCTTTCACCATACAAATAACTTAGGTTTTAAATCAATATTTAACAGACCTCCTTCTGCTTTTTCAAGCCCAAAAGCTCTGAATCTTCAATTGAACGGTCACGATCTCTGAACAATTTGCGGAAAAAACTCTCTGTACCTGGACTACGATCAAATAATCCAGCAGAACTGTTGTTTTCGTTGGCTGAACTACTTTTAGCATCTTCAGGGTGCACACGGAACAGTCTTTTGAACAAAGGAACATCAGGAGCCTCTTCTTCCTCACCATTGGAGGCATTCTCTTCAATTTTGCCATTGGCATCTTTCTTATCCTCAAATACATCCTTAAAGAATTTCTTAAAAAACCCTTTATCCTCCTCGTCAGCTGATTTTATACACTTTTCTTCAGAGTTAGAAATTTCTCCATCGTCAGTTGGATCATTGTTTTTCCTCTTATCATCTAATTTTTCCTTGAAAAGTTTACGGAAAAATCCTTCTTTCTCTTCATCCTCTGCTGATTTGAGTCGTGCTTTGTCCTCAAAATCATCCTTACCATCACGAAATAATCGCTTGAAAAATCCCTCTGAACTTGATGTTAGCTCCTCATCCTCACCTTTGCTGTCTCTTAGGAACCTTCTAAAGAATCCGTCTTTTTCAGAATCTTCTTCATTATTACGAGACAATTTCTGAACTAGAAATGCATCTTGTCTTTTTGAACCTGACTCATCATCATCTCTGCTATCTCCTAAAAGCCTCTTGAAAAAACTATCCTTTTCAGAATCATCATCGTCTTTCTCTGCAGACTTCCTAAATAACAAGGCATCCCGAACTTTTTGACCAGGAATGAATTTCTTGAATATGTTGTTCTCATCAGTAGACAACTGATTACTATCCTCTTGCAAATTATTTCCAGAAGGTGAGAATGATAAAGACTTCTGAACAGGAGGTGACGATGTGAGTGACAACAAGCGCTGCTTTGAAGATAGCAACTTATTCAAAACTTGGTTTTTACTCCCAGAATTAGAAGGTTCACTTTGAGGCCTTATCAAAGGAGGCCACTCACCCATTAAGGTGGCTGCGATCTGGCACTTGTCCAGAATCCTACTAATTCCCTCATTATCATCAGAGTCCTCAAGCTCTGCCAATAAAAACCAGTGCACCTTCAAAGCAATCTTAATTGACTTTGAGCACATGTCTATAACGAATTTATCCAGGGAAGGGCTTGGCTTATTCACCATCAGGTAACAAATTTGGAACAAATAACTCTCAATTCCCTGTAAGGGAAGGGTATACATTCGATTACAGAGATAGTCACGTACCCCAGAATGGTCATGCTTGTACAAATAACTAACAGCAATCCACTCGCAGAAGAATGCCGAGTCGAAAAACCTGATAAGCCACCCATTTTCACTAGATTCGCCGGACAGGTTGGGCCTCGAAGTGATTTCCCGGGGCTCATCTGTCACTCCACGGGTCAGCCCTAAAAGCTTCACCATCATCAGTTGGCCATCATCAACCCTAATTTACCTGTCGAGGGGAATCGAGAGAGCACTTCTCTCGCCGTATCAAAAACAACTTGATTTCAATTAATTCAGCAACTAATGTATGCTAGAATAAACCCTATAAATCCCAAAGCTCCGATGAAAACCCTAATTCTCCCGATATTCAATATTACAACTGGAGTCGTTTATCTGATTCAAACACCTATAGTGCAAAGTCAGGAAACAGGGATATTGAGCAAAAACCCCTCTACCAGCTACGCAAATGGAACAAATACTGTGCTTCGTTTAGAAAAAACTGGGAGACAAATACAGCAACTGCGCCAGAAATTATCAGGAAATTCTATGAGAAATCACAACACAGCTTGAACTCCAGAAATGTAAATATTTAAATCGCGCATACAGAATAAACCGCGAATCAGAATATGGCACAGAAGCGGGTAAATGAACCGAATGGCCGATAGATCTCTGCCGCTTCCTACAAATGAGGTCGCTTGGCTGCGATGGTTGCAGCGGCACGGTGGCGGTCGTGGTCGTTACGTTCCCCGACACGGACGAAGGTGAGTTACCTGCCACTTCGGTGACAGTAACAATAATAAGAGTAAAATACAGTAACGATCCTCTTATTTTACCTAAATTACACAAATCTATCTTTTATTTTAAAAAGGTTCATAGACCTCCTCTAATTAAAAATCCACATTACAGTAACTTAATATAAGACTTAATTAATTATTTTAGAGAAAAAAATTAAATAAATTATTTTAAAGTATCATATATATATCATTATTTTCCAAACTAATTTATTCATTTTATAAATTGATATATAATCTAATAATATACATAATTATTTTTAAAAAATTATGTAACATATGTTATAATTAAATAATTTATTTTTTTTAATTTTCTCAAATTAATCAATTAGATCTTATTAAAAGTAGTGTTAATTAATTATTAAGTTTGACTTTTATTTTAATTAAAACACCCCTCTTTAACATAAGAATAATTTAAATGTCTTCAAAAAAAATAATTTTTATACAACATAAAAAACAATTCTAACACATATATTTTCAAACTTTTTAATATGCCATAAAATTTATCAATTTTGATTATATTATAAAATCTTATAATTCTAATATTTCATCCCATTTATTGAGACTTATTTATTTTCTTTTAAAAGGCTAAAGACATATTTCAAACACGTATAAGAGATTAATGCTTTAAGAGATCTAGGATCTTCACATCCTTTTTTGTCTTGTTAGGACAATTTTTTGCAATATGTCCTTTTTTCTTGCATAAGTAGCGCCTGTCAGATTTCTTTGAATAAGGCCTATGCCTCTTGAAGTACCTCAGAAAAGGCTTTCTAGATCTTTTTCTGGAATATAAGCCTTTTGGATATCTGAAGCGTTGATAATGAGATTTCCTCTTGGTAGAACAAGAGCAATCTTTATTGTCTTTGCATTTTATCTTCAGATGAGGTTTTTTGCAAGCATGTTTCAGCTTTGACTATCCTTTCAGCATTCCTTTGAAGAACTTCTAGTGTTCACAGAGCTTGTCCACAGTTGCTAGCACGAACTGATATATTTCTCTTATAGAAATGTCAAGACATATTTCTATGGAGTGTATTGATAGCTTTATAAAGTTTTGGTTGCAGTTCATCTGAAGAGAGGCAATAAAAGTATGCCTGAGATTAACATCATTGGCTCCTCCGAGCATGTAGTATTTCTTAGACATTCTCTAGAAATGCTTTTGCAAGTCTCTTTTATCTAAAGAACAACATTTCATCTCAAAGTATTCTTGGCGATGTCTTTTGTTAATGATCTGAAAATCACCAATGAATTCCTTGTGAATGAGTCCTAGAAGAGTTCCTGTATTATCAACTATGGCTGCTGCTATCTTCTGGTAATCACTAAGGCTTTGAAACCATTCTCTTAATGTTCCAATCAGTCTCGAGAGAAACCCTGTAAGAACTTTCTCAAGATTTGCATCATATCTGGCAAGCTGTAATCAAACCAGGCACCGAACTCATGGAGTTTGTCTCTCTATTTTTCTAGAAGAAGGTCATCAAAAGTAAACCATGGACCTATAGTAGGTTTGTAGTCTGTTCTTCTAGGCTTAGATGTATGAGGGACAAATGGTTCTTCATCAAAATGATCTTCAACTGTAGGATCTGGTTGGACCATTACTATTCTGGAAATATCAGCATGATATGTCTCGGAGTCAAAATTAGAATTATACTCAATAGAAGGATCAGATTCAGTTTCAAAGCTTCCGTTTGTTGATGATTGATCTTTATTCAAGGATTGAAAAGTGGCTATGGTTTTGTTTGGATCAAAAACTTCTTTACTTTTTTCTCTGTCAAGAGTAGGAGTCTGTTTTAGTGGAGATGATGGTGGGGTTCTTATTATGATTTCTTGGGAGGATGGTGTTGGTTCAATAGGTTTAGTGTATGAGGATGATGGCTGAAAGGGTCTTTTAGATGAAGGGAAATGAGGTGGTCTTACTAGAGGTCTAGGAAGAGGATTTAGTTGTACAGGAAGAAGAGTTAGTTGAGGTTTTCTTAACTGTCTTAAAATAGGATAAGACATTTTGAAAACCTTGCTGTAATCAGATTCTCTGGGGTAAGAAGGAGGTGATATTGGATATATAGGAAGTTGGAAACATGAGGGGTAAGATGGATAAAGGTCATAAATGGTTTGTGAATGATCCTTTGCAATATCCAGCTCAATTCTCTGTAAATCCTTTTGGATTTGTGACAATTCTTGCTCTTTCCTGGTAAATTCTAGTCCAATGTATCCTTTTTCGATAAACCGCTTTAAATCTGCATCCAATTGATAAGCCTGAGAAGACAAGGTCATATAAAGTTATTTGACTTGATCAGAGACTTGATCGAGTCTGCTAGTCAGAGTATCAGTTCTGAGAGTCAAGCTTTGAATCAATCTTTGTCAGAGTTTTGTTCTGGCCGATTGCATTCTGGGTCTGCCAATTAAGAACTTCTTCTGCTGTTGAGACTGGTCTAGCTTTACCAGTAGGAGAGATTTCTGTTGGAACAGAGAAAGGTCTTGCTATAACCTTTGTTTCTTTGTTGGTTCTTCTTTCAAGGGGAGGAAAATCCTGCTCATAAGGATCCATCATTGCTATACACGGGATGGATTGTTGGATGATAGGAATAGCTGGATCTGGCCTCTATTTAGGAAGAAGATCTTCATGACCTGTTTCTTTCAGCAAATCATATAGAGATAATTTGCTAGAAAGAACAGTACGAACAAGAACCTTCCAATTTCTAACTTTCTACTTTGGGCCATGATCATCATGATGATGATGATAATTCTTGTGGGAACAAGGAGATGTGTTTTTCTCCTTTTTCTTCTTTGTAGCATACCTGATGGGATAAGACCATCCATCTTCATCTTCATCATCTGATGCTTCCCACTCGTAAGGTATATCGCATTCACAATCAGGATCACATTCTTCTGATGCATGATCCTAAATGAAATGACCATTTATGTGAGATACATAACATGGCTTGGCATTATCGCATTCACAATCAGGATCACATTCTTCTGATGCATGATCCTAAATGAAATGACCATTTATGTGAGATACATAACATGGCTTGGCATTTTGATCTACCCAGGCAATTGAAAGATCTCGCCTTGATGGAATATAAGCGGGGGTAATAGACAAAATATGTCCAGAAGGTACAGAAGAACTTTCTTGGCATGGCTTTGTGAAGACAGTTTTGACTGTGCCGTCTCAAAGCCTTTTTATCTCAGGGGAGATAGAAGTATGAACATCTCTTTGAACACCATAGAAGTGTTTTTCATAGTTTGGGATGCACTCAAGAGGCATCAACTGAGCAAGTTCCTCTTTTGGGATCTATCGGGAAATCTAGATGATGGAAGTATCATCAACTCTATCAGAAACCACAAAAAGAGCATCTTTAGTGGAATTAGGAAAATGAAGGTCAAGAGCATGGTTCTGGAGTCTTTAGATAACTTGATGATAAAGGGTTGCCGCGATAGCTCTGGGATCTTGTTCTGCTCCAACTATCTGGACTTGGATTTTCAATCTGTCCATCAAAGTTGAATCTGAAAGTTTGATATTGAAATCTGGAGCCATGGTAAGGATGTCACTACTATTGCTAAGAGTGGTCAAAACAGCACCAAAAGTATAGGTAGTATCAATTAGAGCAATTTTAGCAGTGGCTAGAATTCCCTTTCTTCCATGGAGTGTAAGAATAAAACGTACAACACTTATATGGATATGGGTATAACCTTGAGCTATCCATTCATTGATCAAAGGTTGAAGCATATCAATAGTGACATATTGTTCAGAAGAAGAGGCAGGAAGACCACAGTTTTCTAAACTGGTATATTAGACAATTTCTTTTACATGGGGTCTTCGGGTGGAGATCAGGTTTCTAACATTTCTGGTGACATGATTGGTACGATGGTAAAGGCTATAACGGCTAAGGAGAGGTAGATCTGTTTCCTAAATTCTAGCATCTTCAGGAAGATGATCTATTTCAACAAGATTTTCTATTTTTCTAGAAAGAGTTTTACGAACAGAAGATGAAAGTCTTTGTGGGGTAAAAAGGGTAGAGAGTCAAACAGGTTCAATGCTGTTTGAAGTTTCACTCATGATGTGGTGATATCTTCTTACTCACCTGCACAAATAATATCTCACTGCTGTCAAAAATTGTGCTGGTTCTGATACCTTCACGTATTTTTCGTTACACAGTATAAATAATATAAGGTTAAGAGATTATACAAATTAATTAAATTTAAAATTTTTAAACATAAATATACATAAACACATTAAATCTAGTATACATTTATTAATATAATTAATTAAATTTTTAATCAAGTTATTTATATTTGAGCTAACTAAATTACTGGAACTTTTGTCTCATATAATAAAAAATTAAACAAATAATTTTAACCAAGATTAGGTTTTCAGTGATGAAAGGCATAACGGTAAATAAAATTTGTTTAGATATTTTTTAAATTTTTTTAAAAAAATTAACGATTTGGATTTAGGTGTATATTTTAAAAATAGGCGAGAGATTTATGTAATGAAAACAAAATACAAGAGATTTATAGTATTTTACTCTAATAGTAGTAGTAATAATAAATGAATTGAACCAATAGGAAATTTACACTTATGATTGAGACTATAACATTAATTTTGGGTATAATTAAAAACAGATTTGAAAAGTCAAAACTTTGATTTTTTTTTTAAATCCTAACACATCTCTCATATAATTGTTGACTAAGAGTCTCAGGATTGATTTTAATTCAAATAGTTTTATTTAACAAAAAATATTGAATCAAAAAATTTAAATAAGGTTAATATTTATATCAAGTTTCTTATATATATTAGATCAAGTTCTCTAACCATATGATTATGTGTCATATTTTCAAAATATTAATACTTTATTATAAAGGGAAAATTAATCTTTTGATCCATAGAGTTTTCACTTAGTTGTAACTCAATCATTATACTTTGACTCAA